ATTCCGCTTTTTATTTTTTTCCTTCTTCCTCATATATGAACTGAGAGAGAAGTATTTGCCGGAGACTTCAACACAGGCAGCAGCCGCAATCCACCATTGTAAAACAAACGTGAGGAATAGAAAGACGAATGAAGGGGGAAGAGAGGTAGAGACAGAGACATTAACACACACACACTCACTCACTCACTCACTCACTCACTCACTCACTCACTCACTCACTCACTCATTCACTCACACTCCCTCACACTCACTCACTCACACGCACACACACGCACACACACACACACACACACACACACACACACACACACACACACACACACACACACACACACACACACACACACACACACACACGCACACTCTCTCTCTCTCTCTCTCTCTCTCTCTCTCTCTCTCTCTCTCTCTCTCTCTCTCTCTCTCTCTCTCTCTCTCTCTCTCTCATTCACACACACACACAAATTAAGAGTAACTTAAGAGAGCGAGAACAAGAGACAGTACTGTGACACACAGGCACACCAGCCACCTCATCCAAGTCATTATAATTTCTGTGTGGTCATCTAGGCCAGGGAAGGCTGGAGGGGAGAGGGGGGAGGGGGCTGGTTGGCAAGTGTGGTCGTGATCGCCATGAGAAAAGAAGGAGAGATGGAAAAGTGGGAAAGAGGCAGAGGGAGAGAGAGACAGAGAGAGGGAGAGAGAGGGAGAGAGATACAGAGAGAGGGAGAGAGACACAGAGAGAGAGACAGACAGACAAAAAGGCGGACAGAAAGGCGGACAGACAGACAGACAGACAGAAAGGCGGACAGACCCCAAGCCGGGGAAATCCGTCTTCTTATCCCACCGCTGAATGTTAAGCCGCGATAAGAAATCCCAGTCTTATCCTCGTCTCGTTCTTATCGAGGAAGGAAGGAGGGAAGGAGACACACAAAAAGAATATAAGAACGAAGTGAAGAGAGATGGGGGGAAAATAGTGAATATTTTACGAATAACGGTAATCAGTGGAACGGGAAATGCGGATGAAAAGTGCGAAGTGAAAAGAAGGGGGGGGGGGGAATATATAAATACAAACTGGATGGAACGAAGGGGGAATGACCAACAAGGAGAGCGAATGCAATATAAAATCCGTGACCTGAAAGAAAAAGAACGAAAGAAAGAGAGAATTTTACAGTGTAATACTTCTTGAGCAATGATGCCTTGTTGCGTCGCTGTACTCTCCCCCCCCCCCCGCCTCTCCCTCTCTCACTCTCACTCTCCTTCTCCCTCTTCCCCCCCCCTCCCCTTTCCCTCTCCCTCTCCCTCTCCCTCCTTCCTTTCCACCCTCCTTTTTCCCTTCTCATTACTTTTCTCTCTTATTTCCTTTCTCCCTCTCATTCACATTATCTCTCTCCCTCCCTCCCTCCCTCTCCCCTCCCCCCCCTCCCCCCTCCCTCTCCCCCTCTCTTGCCTCCCCATCACTTCTCCTCCTCCCCCTCCTTTCCCTCCCTGTTCTCCCACACATCGTCACACGTGTCACTTTCTCCCTCCCCCCCTCCCCCTCCCCCCTCCATCCGATCTCCATCTATCCAAGTTAGGTTAAGAGGCTTGATAATTGTTTATTGACTGCAAAGCCTTATCTTGATCCGGCCCCGTTTATTGGTTACGTGGATTTCCCCGCCAAGGACGCCAGTTGGTGTGCGCATGCTTGTATATTAATTCGTTATTACTATCTTTGTATTTGTTATTATTATGGTGGTTGTCACTGTTGTTGTTTCTGTTATGATGGTGGTCGTGGAAAGGTTTAGGGAAACCAAGACGGCGAACGATATGAAGGAGAAACAAGAATAGAACAGAAAAGGGGAATAACCACAGATTGGTATAAAAATGATAACACTTCCTTTCATTTTCCTCCTCCTCATCCCTCCTCTTTCTCCTCCTCGTACTCCTCATCCTCCCAATCCCCCTGCTCTTCCCCCTCCTCTTCGTCCTCTTCCTCCTCTTCCTCTTCCTCATCCTCTTAGTCCACCCTTCCCCCAAATTCATCTTTATATATTTACCACTCGTTTATTCATTCTCACGCCTTTTCTTGCTCCCCCGTTTATCACGTGGCCCTCTCTCCCTCCCTCCAGCGGCGGGCATCAGGCACTGGTGAGGATGGAGAGCGTGCTGGAGGACCGTGAGCGCTACGGCGTGCCCGACGCCATCCTGCTCGAGGACTACCAGAACGAGGCCGTGTTCATCGACAACCTCAAGAAGCGCTACCATGAGAACGTCATCTACGTGAGTGCTTGGCTTGTTTGTTTGTTTGTTTGTTTGTTTATTTGTTTGATTATTGGTTCATTTGTTTATTTGTAAGTTTTTTTTTGTGTGTGATTTAGGTTTTCTGGTTATTTGATGTTTTTTATATTGTATTTTTTTTTTTACGAATAGGAATGTTAATTTTTTTTCTAATTTGATTTATTTTAGGGGGATGATTTTTTATTTTCATGTTTTTTTATTTGATCCCTCCTTTTTCGTGCGTTATTCGCTTTCCCTATTCCCCTGTGGCCCCTGTCATTCCATGATTCCCACATTTTCATTAATTTCACTCCTTCATTCTCTCATCCTTCCCTCCCATTCCCTCATCCTTTCCCCCGCCCCATATCCTCATTCACTCTCCCCTCCCACTTCCCCATTCTCTCATCCCCCCTGATTTCTCTTCCCATTTCCCCATTCTCTATCCCGTTCCCCCTTCCATTCTCTCATTCTCTCACCCTACCCTGATTCCCTTCCCCACTCCCTCATTCCCATTTCCCTCACCCCCCCCCCCATTCTCCCATTCTTCCCTCATGCTCTCCCCAATCCCCCCATACTCTCTCCTATTCCCCCATTCCTGCATTCCATTATTATTTCATTCCCATTTCCCTCATCCCCCCCTGATTCCCCTTCCCATGCTCTCCCCCATTCCCTCATTATCTCACTCCAATTTCCCCGTTGCCTCATAACCCCTGATTCCCCCTCCTATTTCCCCATTCCCTCATTCTCTCCCCCATTCCCTTCCCTCATGCTTTCCCCCATTCCCTCATTCTCTCCCCCATTCCCTCATTCTCTCCCCCATTCCCTCATGCTCTCTCCCATTCCCTCACTCTCTCCCCCATTCCCTCATGCTCTCCCATTCCCTCACTCTCTCCCCCATTCCCTCATGCTCTCCCCCATTCCCTCATGCTCTCCCCCATTCCCTCATGCTCTCCCCCATTCCCTCATGCTCTCCCATTCCCTCATGCTCTCCCATTCCCTCACTCTCTCCCCTCCCGCCCCGACAGACCTACATCGGACAGGTGTTGGTGTCTGTCAACCCGTACAAGGACCTTGGTCTCTACACCGACGCCCTGCTGGAGAAGTACAGGAACGTCAATTTCTACGAAGTGCCACCTCATGTGTGAGTATTTGCTTGCGTTTATTTTGTTTTTTTTTTGTTTGGGGTCTATTGGAAGTTCTGTTTTTCATTTTTCTTTTTTCTCCCTTTATTTTGTCTTGTTTCCTTTCCTTTACCTTTTTCTTCATTTTTTTTATTTGTTTATCTTTTGCTTCTTTTGGTGTTTGTTCTAATTATTTTCTCGTGTGTTTTTTGTTACTTTGTCCAAGTGTCTACCTGTTTATGCATTTTCTTATCTATCCGTCAATATGTCAGTCGTTTATCCATCCATCCCTTTCTTTCTATCTGTCTATCTATCTATCAGTCAATGAATCTATCTATCTAATACAGTGGTCCTCAAACTTTTCTCTGATGGCACCAGAAATAGTCTCCTCTGTGGCACCCTTTCCTTTAACCTCAGGGCGCCGTGGCACCCACTTTGAGAGCCACAGGTCTAATACCTTCCTTCCCTCCTTTCCATTTTCCGTTTCTCTTTCCAAGGCTTTGTACTCGTTGCTAAATGGGCGCGAAAGAGTTTCCAATACTTAGAAACTAAACTCGCTATCCTTGTGAGATTTTATTTTTATTTTTAGGTCGACTTTGTTTTATTGTGATCGTATGAATAAGATGAAGATGACGAGATTTTTTGTTTGAATTTTTTTGTCAATATCTTTATAATTTTCGCCTGTAATGATTCGTCATTTTCATATGCCAGATTTTTGTTACATGTAAAAGCTTAAATAGGCAGACAGGCAGTTAGATAGAAAGGCAGGTATGCAGGCATGCAGACTGATAAGCAGAGAGGCAGACATGTGTACGTACATGGTTACATACATACTTACATACTGTACAGGCAGACACGTATGCATACATACTTTTACACACTGCAAATACAGATACGTGTACGTACATATTTAAATGCACATGTACTTACATACTGTACAGACAGACACAGAGAAAGCGAGAGGGGAGGGAAGGGTCACCGAGCATCATTTCGAGCAACCTTGGATCACGCCATCAGCAAGGAGTCAAGCATCATTAACTTTATAATAGAGTTGATTTTGAAGGTGCCATTAACCTTTGCAGTGACTCACGTATGTTAGGTCGTGCGGGGTCGGGCGATTTGCCTTGATGTTCATTCATTTATAGGTTCTGCCTCTGAATGTAGGTCTTTCTTTCCTTCCTGCCCCCCCCTCTCTCTCTCTCTCTCCTCTCTCTCTCTCTCCTCTCTCTCCTCTCTCCTCTCTCCTCTCTCCTCTCTCCTCTCTCTCCTCTCTCTCTCTCTCCTCTCTCTCTCTCTCCTCTCTCTCTCTCTCTCTCTCTCTCTCTCTCTCTCTCTCTCTCTCTCTCTCTCTCTCTCTCTCTCTCTCTCTCTCTCCTCTCTCTCCTCTCTCTCCTCTCTCTCTCCTCTCTCTCTCTCTCTCCTCTCTCTCTCTCTCTCCCTCTCTCTCTCTCTCTCTCTCTCTCTCTCTCTCTCTCTCTCTCTCTCTCTCTCTCTCTCTCTCTATATATATATATATATATATATATATATATATATATATATATATATATATATATCACCTTCCCCTTTCCTTCTTCCCTCCCTTTTCTTTCCCTCTCACCTTCCCTGTTTTCCCTCTTCACTCTCTTTCCCTTTCCTTCTTCCCATCCCTTATTCTCCTTTCCTTATTTTATCTTCATTCCTCATACACACCTCTTCTCTTCCCTCATCCCACCTCTTCGTTCTTTCCCCTCTTCCCTTTCTCCCCGTTCATTCCTCCTTCTCCCTCTTCTCCTACTTCTCCGTCTTTTTTGCCTGCTTCTTTGTCTCGCTTTTCTCTTCTTACGCCAGTTTCTTGTCTTTTTCTTTCTCTTATCTTCCCTTCATACTTTCTTTATATTTATAATTTGCATGTGTGTATGATCATGAGATGGGTAGTCGCCCCCCCCTCTCTATCTATCTCACTCTATCTCACTCTATCTCACACTATCTCTCTCTCTTTCTCATTCTCTCTTTCTCTCTTTCTCATTTTCTCTCTCTCTCTCTCTCTCTCTCTCTCTCTCTCTCTCTCTCTCTCTCTCTCCCTTTCCTTCTTCCCTCCCTTTTCTTTCCCTCTCACCTTCCCTGTTTTCCCTCTTCACTCTCTTTCCCTTTCCTTCTTCCCTTCCCTTATTCTCCTTTCCTTATTTTATCTTCATTCCTCATACACACCTCTTCTCTTCCCTCATCCCACCTCTTCGTTCTTTCCCCTCTTCCCTTTCTCCCCGTTCATTCCTCCTTCTCCCTCTTCTCCTACTTCTCCGTCTTGCTAGTCGTTTTTGCCTGCTTCTTTGTCTCGCTTTTCTCTTCTTACGCCAGTTTCTTGTCTTTTTCTTTCTCTTATCTTCCCTTCATACTTTCTTTATATTTATAATTTGCATGTGTGTATGATCATGAGATGGGTAGTCGCCCCCCCTCTCTATCTATCTCACTCTATCTCACACTATCTCTCTCTCTCTCTCTCTCTCTTTCTCATTCTCTCTCTTTCTCTCTTTCTCATTATCTCTCTTTCTCTCTTTCTCATTCTCTCTTTCTCATTCTCTCTCATTCTCTCTCATTCTCTCTCTCTCTCTCTCTCTCTCTCTCTCTCTCTCTCTCTCTCTCTCTCTCTCTCTCTCTCTCTCTCTCTCTCTCTCTCTCTCTCTCTCGCCCCCCCCCCCCTTCTGTCACCCCGCTTTCCCTCAGCGGCTCCCTCCGCCCCCGCCACGCCCAAGGGGTCATGACCCCCGCCCACTCTGTCCCTTTGCACGCCCACAAAGCTAAAGTCCGGCTATCACGCCTACTCCTTACCTGTCACTTACCTCACTCTCGTATCTCTCTCCCCTCTTTTTTCTTCCTCCTTATTCTTCGTTGTTTTACTACTACTTCAATTCCTTCTACCTCTTCCCCTCCTTCCTCCTTCATTTCTACATTTTATTCTTGTTATTTCCTTTTCCCAATTCTCTTTTACCCTCCTCCCTCTTTCTCCTCTTTTCTTCCCTCTTTCCTCCCCCTCCCACCTCCCAACTTCTTTTTTTCCCCTCCTCTCCCCCTCCTCTCCTCTCTTTTCCCTTAACCACCAATCCCTTTCCATGTCCTTTTCTCTCTTAGCCATCCCTCCTCCCCCTTCCCTTCAATCCTTCCCTCTGACCCTTCCCCCTCAGTCATTCCACCTCCTCCTCCCCTTCACTCCTCCCCTCTCCCCTCACCCCCTCCCCTCTCCCCTCCCCTCTCCCCTCTCCCCTCCCCTTTCCCTTCACCCCTCTCCTTTCCCCTCTCTCCCCCCCCGGTCGCGTGTGCAGGGGTGCCAGTGAGAGGCAGCGAAAGGATCGAGTTACGCGGCCCACTCTGGCGAGGGACGCTTGGATTCCTCGCCAATTGACTTGGAATCGCTTGCGCTCTCTTCTTTCTCTCTCTCTTTTTCTCTCTTTCTCTCTCTTTCTCTTTCTCTCTTTCTCTCTTTCTCCTTCTCTCTCTCTCTTTCTCTCTTTCTCCTTCTCTCTCTCTCTTTCTCTCTCTCTCTCTCTCTCTCTTTCTCTCTCTCTCTCTCTCTCTCTTTCTCTCTCTCTCTCTCTCTCTCTTTCTCTCTCTCTCTCTCTCTCTCTTTCTCTCTCTCTCTCTCTCTTTCTCTCTCTCTCTCTCTCTCTCTCTCTCTCTCTCTCTCTCTCTCTCTCTCTCTCTCTCTCTCTCTCTCTCTCTCTCTTATTTTTTGCATGAACTCTCTCCCTCCCATTCACGTCCCTCGTCTATTTTCCCTCCTTTCTGTCATGATTTTTTTCCTTGCTTCTTTTGCTCTCCATATTTAGCAAAACCAATTCCTTTACCGTTTCTCCTTTCTTCCTTCCTCGCCCTCCTTCATTCCTTCCTTTCTCTCCATCTTTTTATCCTCCCTTCCTTAATTTTTCTCTCTTTGTATCCTCCCTTCCTTAATTTCTCCCTCTCTTTTTATCCTACCTTCCTTCCTTCTATCTCTCTGATCTCCCCCCTTCCTCTCTTTCTCCCTCTCTCTGGCCTCCCCCCTTCCTCTCTTTCTCCCTCTCTCCCCCTCTCTTTTTATCCTCCCTTCCTTCCTTCTTTCTATCTCTCTAACCTCCCCCCTTCCTCCCTTTCTCCCTCTCTACCTGTCTCCCCCTCTTTTTATCATCCCTTCCTTCCTTCTATCTCTCTAACCTCTCCCTCTCCCCCTCTCCCCATATCTCCACCCACCCATGCCTCTTCCACCTTCCGCCTTCTGTCTTCCCCATTCCCTCTTTTATCGCCCATTGTCATTAATCCCCCCTTCTCCCCCCCCTCACAGGTTCGCCATCACAGAGAACGCCTACAGGACCATGACGTCCGAAGTGGCAGACCACTGCATCCTCATCTCGGGTCAGTTTACGTTTTTAATTACTCGGTTTCTTGATTAATTGGTCATGGCTTTGATCGGGTCTGTTTATCGATGTAGTATTTGATTGGAGTTATTTATCAGTGGTGACTTGATTTGTTTTGTTGTTTGCGAATGTTGTATATTTTGTTTGCAAGAATGGATTGGAATTTTCGTTTGCTTGTTTGTTTGTCTGATTGGCTGATGGTTTTGTTAGCGCTGAACTTTTTTTGAAGATTTCCCAATCATTGAGAGGGACGGGTTTGGCCAATTGCGCTGTCCTGTATGTGATTTATATGTTGTTATTGTTATTGTTGCTATTAATATTACTCTTGCACTGATGTTGCTATTCTTATCACTTTTGCATTGCTGGAGGGCGTGGAAGGTGAGAAAAGGGTGTGGAACCATGTTGCAAAAGTAAGGATAATTTGTCTCTCTCATTTATTTGGACGGATCGGTACTTTATCTCTCTCTCTGTCTATCTATCTATATCTATATCTCTTCCCCCTTTCTCTATCTGTGTATCCCCCCCCTACCCTCTCACTCTCTCTGCTATTATTATTCGGAGAGCCAGAAAGAGGTAAGGAGGACGGGCGGGCGGCGTTGCGCGTTCGTGGGCGGGGGAGGTTCGCCGTACTATTTTTAATTTCTGATGAGAAAGGGGAAGTTCGGAGGGGATCTTGCCTCTCCTCTTCTCTCTCTCTCTCTCTCTCTCTCTCTCTCTCTCTCTCTCTCTCTCTCTCTCTCTCTCTCTCTCTCTCTCTCTCTCTCTCTCACTCTCTCTCTCTCTCTCCCTCCCTCCCTCCCTCCCTCCCCTCTCTCTCTCTCCCTCTCTCTCCCTCTCTCTCTCTCTCTCTCTCTCTCTCTCTCTCTCTCTCTCTCTTTTACCCCCATCTCTCATCATTTCTCTTGTTTTTCCCTCTCTCAATCTATTTATCTATCTGTATATCTATCTATTTCCCTTCCGTCCCCACTCCCTCTCTATCTATCTATCTATATATCTGTATCTGTCTATCTCTGTCCCTTCCCTCCCTCCATCTGTTCCCCACGAAACGAAAGAAGGGAAGAGCAGCAAAGCCCGAGAGGCGAAGTGCAGAGGCGAAGGCGTCGTCCGCGCTGACGCCTCCGCCCGTCTCTTCCTCTCGCGCTGGGCATTTCCGGCTCGGTCGCTCATTTTGTTCTGATTCTCGTACTTTCTATCCTTTTTTTCTTTTCATTTCTTTCTTCTTCTTCTTCTTCTTCTTCTTCTTCTTCTTCTTCTTCTTTTCTCCTTTCTTTTTTTCTTCTTGCTTTTCTTCTTTCTTTTTCTTCTTCTTTCTCTTCCTCCTCCTCTCTTTTCCTTCTCTCTCTCTCTTCTTCTTCTTTCGTTCCTTCTTTCTTTTCTTTTCTTGTGCTTGTGTTCTATGTTTGTTGGATGGTGCTGCTGTTTCTGCTTCTGTGCCTTTTCTCCGCTTTTCCTTCTCGCTCTCTCTCCCCTTTCTTCCTTCCCTTCTTCCTATCATTCCTTCCCATCCTACGACCGCCCATAGGTCAGTCAATCAGTCGGTCAGTTAATCAGAGACAGACAGACAGACAGCAAGAGAGACAGACAGACAGACAGACAGACAGAGACAGAGAAGGCAAGAGAGAGTGAGAAAGCGAGAGGGAGAGCGGGCGAGATGAAGCTGTATCGCGGTGATCCAACGTGTGTTTACCTAGCGCTGAAGTGGGCATTCCGCTGGGGCTGCGCGATGATGTCAGAGCTTCACTTTGGGCATTTTAGTTACTTGCTGTTGTTTGGTCATTAAGCCTATATCAGTTTCTTTGTATGGTAAAATTGCAATACAATATTCTTAAATTTTTATTTTAATTATATTTTTTGTTGTTGTTGACATATGTGACTTGCGGACGGGACTTCAGGTATTAAGAAGAAAATATATATATGTATATATATATATATATATATATATATATATATATATATATATATATATATATATATATATATATATATATATATATATGTGTGTGTGTGTGTATATATATATGTATATATATGAAAAGAAGTGTTATTTTGTACTCTCGACAACTAATGAAATAAATAAGTGTTATCTGAAATCCCGGTCTTTCCATAAGATAACCGGGGCAACAGAGGCAACAGCCGGGACGGTTCTCCTAAGGGATCTCTCCCTTCTCGTCTCTTTTTCTCCCCTATCTCTCTCTCTTTTTCTCCTTTATCTCTCTCTCTCTCTTTCTGTCCTTTATCTATCTCTCTCTTTCTGTCCTTTATCTCTCTCTCTCTTTCTCTCCTTTATCTCTCTCTCTCTTTTTCTCCCCTATCTCTCTCTCTCTTTTTCTCCCCTATCTCTCTCTCTCTTTTTCTCCCCTATCTCTCTCTTTTTTCTCCTTTATATCTCTCTCTCTCTCTCTTTCTCTCTCTTTCTCTATCTTTTTCTCTCCTTATCTTATGCACTGAATGTCTGTCTGGTCTCTATCCTCTCTCCGCTTCCTCTTTCCTTCCTCCCTTCCTCCCCCCTTTCTCTCTCCCTCCCCTTCCCTTTCCCCTTTCTCTTTCTCTCCCCTCGTCTTTCTCTCTCCTCTCTCTCTCTCTTTATCTCTCTTTATCTCTCTCTCTCCCTCTCTCTCTCTCTTTATCTCTCTTTATCTCTCTCTCTCCCTCTCTCTCTCTCTCTCTCTCTCTCTCTCTCTCTTTCTCTTTCTCTTTCTCTTTCTCTTTCTCTTTTTCTCTACCTTTATCTCTATCTATCCCATTACCTACCAACCTATCTTATGCACTGAATGTCAGTCTGGGCTTAATCCTCTCCCCGTTTCCTTCCTGCTTTCCTCCCTTCCTCCCTTCCTCCCTTCCTCCCTTCCTCCCTTCCTCCATTCCTCCCTTCCTCCCCCTTCTCCTCTTCTCTCCTCCCCTTTCCGCCCCCCACCCGAAGACGAGTTATTTTCTCTCCCCAATGAACGCCCCCCCCCCCCCAAGGCCAGGGGATAGCGGTGTGTATTATGTGTGTGGATGTGGGGTTGGGGGTATGTTGGGGCATAGGGTTGGAGTTGGGGGTATGTTGGGGCATATGGTTGGGGTTGGGGGTATGTTGGGGCATAGGGTTAGGGTTGGGGGGTGGGGGCATAGGGTTAGAGTTGGGGGGGGGGATTGGGTTGGGGTTAGGGATTAGGTTTGAGAATTGGGTTCTAGTTGGGGGTATTTAGTCTTCTCTGGTAAATACGGACATGCGGTTGGGGTAGGGGGTTGGGGTTATTTAAGGGCACAGGGTTCAGAGGTTTGTATTGACACAGGGTTGGGCCTGTGTAGGGATATTACCTAAATGCTATAGGTATATTTTTGCTCTTGTGTGTGTGTGTATGTGTATGTGTATGTGCGTGTGTGTTCGTGTGCTCTCGGGGCCCTGGATGCATGTGCGAGTGAGTGAGTCCGGTTTATGTCCGCGCAAGACAATGCGTTCAGGTGTCTGCTCTTACTCAAGTGTCTTGACGTCACAGGTTATGCCGTTGTTATTGTTGGTACTCTCCCCCGGGGCGTCCGAGGAACAGCGGCGACGAGTGTTCTGGCCGCGCAGACAAGCAACACATGCTTACATGGGAGTGAGAACACACACACTCACACTTAACTCATGTACTAGAGCAAGAATAAGTTAACGAAGCAGAGCGTAAACATAGATGTGCCCATACATAATCGTGATGTTGATGTTGATAACGATGATAATTACTGTCGTCCCCATCAATACCTCACAAGATAACACGAAAATACATAAATAAAAAAACAAATGAAAAGTGCTGTCTGTGTTATGTACTCATAGAATGTATAGCTGTATCCCTAACAAAGAACTTCAAATGCGAACCAGAATTATAGTTGGCACAGTTGTTGTGGGGGAGAGAATGCCCGAGACGGCCTACTAAGTATAAGGTACCATGCAAAACAGTAGGAGAAGGGGCACGAAGACGCAGTTTAAGTAGCTTTTCATCGGTAGCTGACTACTAAGCTATTGCTTGACTCTTGTATTAGAAATCCGTAAGCCTTTGCGCTTGTTTCGTTACCTTAACAATCATCATCCTTACCGTATTGTAATATTCTCCCTGTTTCCTCCCTGTCCCTGTCAGCATTGGCCTTTTCCCTGTCCTTATCCCTCCCATCGCCCTTCCTCCGCCATCAGAAGCCTTTCCATTCTCACCCTCCTCCCTCCCGTAGGCGAGTCGGGCGCGGGCAAGACGGAGGCGAGCAAGCAGGTCCTGCGATTCCTGGCGGCGACGTCGCTCCACCGGCGGGAGATCGACCGCGTCCGGGACCGCCTCCTCCAGAGCAACCCGCTGCTGGAGGCCTTCGGAAACGCCAAGACCAACAGGAACGACAACTCCTCGCGCTTTGGGAAGTACATGGACATCGAATTCAATTTTAAGGTGAGGAGGGGAGGTGCCGGGAGGGGTAGCTGTGGCAGCCTGTGTTTGGGTCTCTCATGCCAGCCCTGCCAGAGGCCTGGCTTGGGACTCTCATGCCAGCCCTGCCAGAGGCCTGGCTTAAGATACTCATGCCAGCCCTGTCAGAGGCCTGGCTTGTGACTCATGCCAGCCCTGCCAGAGGCCTGGCTTGGGACTCTCATGCCAGCCCTGCCAGAGGCCTGGCTTGGGACTCTCATGCCAGCCCTGCCAGAGGCCTGGCTTGGGACTCTCATACCAGCCCTGTCAGAGGCCTGGCTTATGACTCATGCCAGCCCTGCCAGAGGGCCTACCTTAGGATTCTCATGTCAGCTCTGTCAGAGGCCTGGCATAAGATACTCATGCCAGCCCTGCCAGAGGTCTGGCATCTCGCAGTGTGACATAGGTCTGTCCCTCTCTTTGCTGAGTTCTTGTTTCCCAAGCCAGAATTCCATTACCTCAGAGCAGAACCTCCGACAGTCTCTGGATGTAGCTGGTGGTAGTTGGAGGCCTCAGTCACAGTTCTGTGTTCCCACTTGCAGCATAGGAAGAGGGAGGAAGGTAGTGAGGCAGAGTAGGATGCTGTGGCAATAGTTAGATGGCAGGCTTTAGGTACTATTTATATTATATGATCATCATCAGTATGTGTTACCTTCATTACCATTATTTTTAATATAATAATAATAATAATAATAATTATTACTATTATTATAATAGTTCTTATATATTCATATAGTTGTTATGTGTATGTATATGTATGTGTGTGTGTATGTGTGTGTATATATATATATATATATATATATATATATATATATATATATATATATA